TATATATGTGTTAATACACACTACAGTTTTCAATATTGTGCAACTGTAGTTTGTACTGACTTCCAAGTACCTATATTTTACAAAGCAGAACGTAACTTCAAATGATATGGTCTGTTCTCTGCTGGAAATTGTTCAGTTTTGCTTATTTTGAACATGGTTCTAGCTGAGGGAATGCCACACCACAGTATTTGGATTTCTGTTGCTTCTGCATCATACTACTATGTTGAATTGAGTGGGATCCCAAGCCACTGTGTTTGCCCATATGTGGTTCAATATTGTATCTCTTTTAGTAGCTCTTATTCAATCAAGAATTATGTATATAGCTAGTAATAAAATTGAAAGCTTTTATCAGAATAAAGATTAAATCTTTTCTGAATGTGTATCTGCTATCCTGTTCTTGGATTTACTTTGCAAAACAAGTAATGTTTATAGGTGAGCTGCTTGGATATAGCCCCAAAGAGAACACACTTGAGGCTTCTGAATATACTGTGACCTAGGCTTTGTCACTAAATACTACTTTGCCATTTCCTTAAACAAAACTGTTGACAGCTAGCATTGAATGGGATTAAATATTTTTGCTTAATCAAATAAAAAATATACTTAAGATTCCACTTAGTGCAGGACATTTGACTAAGATTATGGTATTATTTTTTACTTTCTATAGGAGAGAATTTTTATCACTATTATTGCATGGTTTCCTATCTAATAAAGATATCTTCTTTTGGTTATTCTTTACCTTTTTACTGAAGTCAGCTCTTAATGAAAGGTGTTGTTGTAGGCAAATATCTCATTAAAAACACATCTTTAGGAGTTTTCTGTTTCCTGAGAAATCTAGTATCATAGAAGCCATTTCTAAAAGAAAAATGTAGCTAAGGTTTCTGGATCCATCTTATTCCCACCTTTGATCAGTTGAACAAGATATTAGTGTGCATTTTTTTTCAACATGAGGGAATTCCCTTTGTCTATAAAATGCTGAGATCTATTTCATTTCAATATTTTTCATTACTATTTCACTTTAACAGTTGTACAGTAGGCATATAATACAGGCAGAACTTAACATGTTCTTTTGAAGAGTTCTATCAGAGTTCTTTATTTGCATTAGAAACTAACATCAGGGGATCCTTCCTGGTGGTACAGCTCATTAAAGTGCAGCACTGCAAGCTAACCACAGCCACTTCTGTGCAAGGTAAATCCCCAACCCCAGAGGTGATCTGCATGGCTCAGCAGACCTCCCTTGTCTTGCCGGCTGCTTCTGCCTTGATGAATCCTCTCACCGCCCC